CCGTGCCGGCCGGGTAGCGGTGCGGCTTCTTCCCGCCGCCCGTGGCCGGCGCGCTCTTGCGGGCCGCCTTGGTGGCCAGCTGCTTGCGGGGCGCCTTCCCGCCCGTCGACTTACGCGCCGTCTGCTTCGTGCGGGCCATTTTTCGCCAGAAGAGCCGCCAAGCACTGAGGAACGAGTGGCTATGCGGAAAGCAGCCGCGGGGCCTTTATTTATAGCCACCACCGCCCTGTGATTGGCTGGCGAGAAGGCGCACATTCCATTGGGCAATAGGAAGGATTTGAAAAGCCCGCCGGCCGGTGGCGCGGAGGGGGTGGGGGGAGGTAACCGCTGTTTCCCGCTCCGCAGCCTCCTCCCCAGCCCCTTTCCATGCTGGAGGCAACGGCTCTTTGCTTCTCTTATGCCTCAGCTCTGTCCCGCCGAGCGGGACCGACAGCAGCCGCGCGCTCCGCCACAGCCGTAACCTGCCAGCGGACGCCGAGTTTTTATTATGGCCCCGCCAACAGGCGCTTTTATCTCCGCCTCTGCCCCGGGCGGGCAGGATTTCAGCCCCCTTGTAAAAGGTTTTTTCGCCACCGGCTCTTGTCCGCTTTTTTTTTTTATTTTTAAAGCACACCTTACTTTTCACTCGTATTGTCACATTACGTTGTCACTTCCGAATGAAGAGGTTCCTCATAACTCTTGAAGTGCATATTCTCCATGAAAGGAATGACAGAAAAAAACTGCGCCACTTCCATATGAAATCTCTGAGACTATTAAAATTGTTTTTCTCGGTGCCATTTCACTTCCGGGGTTCGTGGCGTAATAAATTTCATAAAACATTATCATTCAAATATCACACATACACAGACTAATCTCTATGGAGTTCTCTGAGTAAACAAGCTGTTCTGGCTTGCAGCCAAGTCGTTCGAGAATGGCAGCTAATGTTTAAAGGGGACGACAACATTTTATTAGAAACGGTATAAACTGTGTTGGAATAAGGCTGTTATTGTTTAAAAAAAACCGACAGAAAAAAAAATAAAAAACAACACCAAAAATATTACCATGCATATTGCTCTGTACTTGAAAACTAGACCTGAGATAATTGCTCTAAAATGAGAAAGGAAAACTTTAATAGCCTTAGAACTCGATTAGGTACTTAAAATTCTTTTTATAGACTTGCCCGATGAACAGTCGGGGTAGGGCATACACACAACGACCCAAATTAATCCCAATATTTTAACATGACAAACATTTTCCTTGCTATTAACAGCATGTCCTAGTCTGGGAACTAAGCCAGTGCTAAACACAAGTACCACTCACCGAAACCAATTCAGGGTGACCAACTCTTTTACTGAATATGTGGGTGGCTCTTAAAAGAGCCTTTGGTTTAAACGATCTTTTGAACACAGAATTACTTGGAGCTGGTGTACTTGGTGACAGCCTTGGTGCCCTCGGAGACGGCGTGCTTGCCCAGCTCGCCGGGCAGCAGCAGCCGCACGGCCGTCTGGATCTCCCGCGAGGTGATGGTGGAGCGCTTGTTGTAGTGCGCCAGGCGCGACGCCTCGCCGGCGATGCGCTCAAAGATGTCATTGACGAAGGAGTTCATGATGCCCATGGCCTTGGACGAGATGCCCGTGTCGGGGTGCACCTGCTTCAGCACCTTGTACACGTAGATGGAGTAGCTCTCCTTTCTAGTCTTTCTACGCTTCTTGTCACCCTTCTTCTGCGTCTTGGTGACGGCTTTCTTGGAGCCCTTCTTCGGAGCAGGAGCGGATTTAGCTGGTTCCGGCATTTTACTAGTCTGTCACTACCTGTCTACCGCAGGAACGACGTAAATACAATAGCGGCGACTCCCGTATTTATAGGGACGGTATGCAAATGAGATGACTCAAGGATGTTCTTGCCTACTGGACAATCCGGGTTTGTGATGTCAAACCATCTAGCGCCTCCGATTGGTCATTATTTCATCTGTCTTCCCATTGGTTAACTTCACAATCGCAGTCTCCACCAATCAGAAGTCCCACCGAACCCCAAAAGGAAGGGATAAAAAGGCAGGGTGGCCGCTCTCGCTGTACCGTTTCTGTTGTTACAGGTTTTGGTCTTTTACGTAGATTTTGTTTTGCTTTCGTAACCTTTAAGGTATGTCCGGCCGCGGGAAGCAGGGCGGGAAGGCGCGGGCCAAGGCCAAGTCGCGCTCGTCGCGGGCCGGGCTGCAGTTCCCCGTGGGCCCCGTGCACCGGCTGC